GTAGAGAGAGGGAGTGAGAGGTACCAGGGGTAGAGAGAGGGAGTGAGAGGTACCAGGGGTAGAGAGAGGGAGTGAGAGGTACCAGGAGTAGAGAGAGGGAGTGAGAGGTACCAGGGGTAGAGAGAGGGAGTGAGAGGTACCAGAAGTAGAGAGAGGGAGTGAGAGGTACCAGGAGTAGAGAGAGGGAGTGAGAGGTACCAGGGGTAGAGAGAGGGAGTGAGAGGTACCAGAAGTAGAGAGAGGGAGTTAGATGTACCAGGGGTAGAGAGAGGGAGTGAGAGATACCAGGAGTAGAGAGAGGGAGTGAGAGGTACCAGGGGTAGAGAGAGGGAGTGAGAGGTACCAGGAGTAGAGAGAGGGAGTGAGAGGTACCAGGGGTAGAGAGAGGGAGTGAGAGGTACCAGGAGTAGAGAGAGGGAGTGAGAGGTACCAGGAGTAGAGAGAGGGAGTGAGAGGTACCAGGAGTAGAGAGAGGGAGTGAGAGGTACCAGGAGTAGAGAGAGGGAGTGAGAGGTACCAGGAGTAGAGAGAGGGAGTGAGAGATACCAGGAGTAGAGAGAGGGAGTGAGAGGTACCAGGAGTAGAGAGAGTGAGTGAGAGGTACGAGGAGTAGAGAGAGGGAGTGAGAGGTACCAGGAGTAGAGAGAGGGAGTGAGAGGTACCAGGGGTAGAGAGAGGGAGTGAGAGGTACCAGGGGTAGAGAGAGGGAATGAGAGGTACCAGGAGTTGAGAGAGGGAGTGAGAGGTACCAGGGGTAGAGAGAGGGAGTGAGAGGTACCAGGGGTAGAGAGAGGGAATGAGAGGTACCAGGAGTAGAGAGAGGTAGTGAGAGGTACCAGGGGTAGAGAGAGGGAGTGACGAATGATGGCCTCACTGCGCAGTTATGACCTGTTCATTTAATTTAATTATTTGGAAACGGAGAATTTAATTATCGTAAACTATTTAGTTTACAAAATTTTATATTTAAGGATTATTAATTACTCATCACAGTAGTGTATAGTTTCGACATGGGGAGTTATCCTTGAGTCTAGTGCAGATCCTTAAGGAACACTCCCGAACTCCTAAACGGAGGACTAATTCCTTATGCTTGTTGACTTCACATTCTCCTTTATTAAGTTCTGAATAAGGAGTTGTTATATTTTGAAGCCCCTGTACAATTAATATAAATATTTCATTAAATTCCTACGTCTTTATTACTTACACATTTTAAGCCGAAAATCGGGAACAATTTTCTCTATTAATAAAGAAGCTGTTAAAGTAAAGACTACATCTTAAGATAAGTTAAAACACTGATTAATACCCATATTTATTAATAACTAAATAATTCTGATGTGTTCAGTGTCGCGGGCAGCATCTGGGCTCCCCTTCCTTCTGTAAAGGAACAAAATTCTATTATTTCTACAAATATACATCCCCTGGTACCCCTGGTACTTGTCCCGCTATGAAATATTATATCACCAAATTATCGTGAGTGAGTTAAGACAAATGTGGAGTGTCAGGTGTGGGGTGTCAGGTGTGGGGTGTCAGGTGTGGGGTGTCAGGTGTGGGGTGTCAGGTGTGGGGTGTCAGGTGTGGGGTGTCAGGTGTGGGGTGTCAGGTGTGGGGTGTCAGGTGTGGGGTGTCTTCCAAGATGATGAATGGCGTGCCGTGCAGCACCCAGAAGGGTGTCCGTGTGCCCGGTGTTACGATATATCGTATCGTGTTATTTCATCGCATAAAGGCACGATTATTTAAGTCATACGTTCATTATTACAGGAAGAACGAGGTTAACAACCATGGAGGTCGTTAACGGTCAGCACGGTATGGCTCGTCCGGTGGCGGGAATTTCTGTTAGCCAATCAGAACCACCGGGCGAGGTAACGTGTGCTGGCCGGAGCATGTGGAGAGACAGACATATACTCCCCTCCATTGAGTCAACAGGCTGTCGTCGCGTTTGGATGTGTGACCAACGGACCCAACTGTTAGTGTGCTCCACCCTCACGAAGGAAGAGGACCTCGAGGCATGGTCGACGTTCTTGAAAGTTATGGAAGATAACAGCTTTTGAGATTTAGAGGTCGGCGTGTGGTAACGCGCTGATTTTCCGAATAGTGGTCCAAAATTACGGACAAGTGAATTTATAAGTGGAAAGAACAATCGGATAAGAGACGACCATTTCATGGTCGCAATGTCTCTCTCTCTCTCTCTCTCTCTCTCTCTCTCTCTCTCTCTCTCTCTCTCTCTCTCTCTCTCTCTCTCTCTCTCTCTCTCTCTCTCTCTCTCTCTCTCTCTCTCTCTCTCTCTCTCTCTCTCTCTCTCTCTCTCTCTCTCTCTCTCTCTCTCTCTCTCTCTCTCTCTCTCTCTCTCTCTCTCTCTCTCTCTCTCTCTATATATATATATATATATATATATATATATATATATATAATATGTGTGTGTGTGTGTATGTATATGTAATATATTGTATATAAGGTGATTAGACATATATCCTAATTTATCCATGATGAAGTTTTATACCATCTTATTTTCTTGTCCTTTGTCAGACCTCAGCACAAAGTGTGTCGCACCTGACAATAGGTCCGGCTGAGGCTGACACCTGTTCAGATTCATGTACCCCGTTGTAGTACAACGAAGCATAGGATAAACATTCAGAATAAACCTAAATTAAATGTGTTGGGTTGTCAACAGTTCGATCCCAACACCGGGAAGACAGTCCTGTTCCCCCTCGCCAATGTAAACACAGTGGATAGACAGTAATGGCTCTGTACAGTCGTAACAGTTAACGAGCCATTGGAAGAAGGATCGCAGATGTAAAAGCCAAGCACAATTATAACTACAAATTATTAATTAATTAAATGTAAATCTTTCCCATCTTCACTTCATACATGAGAGAACATACACATTTTCTGTACAGGTTGAGCTTGGAGAGACAAGAAAAATATGTGTATGTAGTGTGGTAAATATGTTCGACCTTCGCCGGGTCGAGCTTGTATACAGGTTGGTACAAAGTAATTTCTAGCTTAATATCTGTTTGTCCTAATTTTAGGTATGTACAGATGCTTATTGTTATAGAGTGCTAAAACCTGGAATTTCTCGTTATTGCCTATTGTTAAACTTGAGAATATAAGAACAAAGGAAACTGCAGAAGGCCTATTGGTCCATACGAGGCAGCTCCTATTTATAACCACCCAGTCCCACTCATATACATATCCAACCCACGTTTGAAACAATCGAGGGACTCCACCCTCACCAAGTTGAAAGCACATGAGGTCTTGCATGCATGACTTTTCTTTTGTGAATCTGTTTTCGGGATTTATTATCAAGTTAATGATCTTGAGCGAGAGCATCTTCTCGTCTTCGTCTTGTTCCATATTACACTCCATCACTTGGTAAGGTATGCTGGTTAGCCGAGGCTTAGTCTCCTTCTATTTTGTTGTATTTTTTATTTTCTTGAATATTGCAATAATTTATAATTACTCCAGTCGGCAGATTTTTTGTTCTCATTGATCTGTTCTGAGTCTTCGTGGCGCAGTGGTCAGCACATTGTACTCACTAATGAATGATCCCGATGCCGATTCCCGGGCAGGACAAGACGTTTGGCCATTATTCCTTACACCTGATGTCTCTGTTTCCCTAACAGTAAAACTCATACCCAGGAGTAAGGTTACTGTTGTGGGTTACATCCTGACCAAAATCAAATGCTGGCCAAGGGGGGATGTCGCGAAGCCCAACAGTCTTCCTGTCCCCAACAACAGGAAACTATCAGCCTCTATATAAATAGAATGAACTAGAAGAGAACATGAACAGCCCCGACACAATGAATTATTAATTATATTTACCCTCATCCTGGATGAGGTGAAGGCGAGATCTGATCTTGAATGAGCAACAACTTGCTCATTGCGTCTCCCAAATACTGCATGCGAGTTTTTCTGTTTAGTGTCCCACCAGGTGGGTGGCCGCGGTGGCACTCACACAGCGGACAGGCACCGGTGGCAGCGCGGGTGGGTGGCAGGGCGGGTGGGTGGCAGGGCGGGTGGCAGTGTATTGTCGGGTAACAACGGGCGGCAAGGTGGCCTAACATTGGGTGCTAATAAGTGTGGGTGGTTGTCATTAGGTGGCAGGGAGGGTGGACTCGGCAGGTGGGTGGGTGGCTGATGCTTGTAGCGGGTGGTGCGCTCATTGGGTGGCATCGACTGTTAGAGAGTGGACGGCCATGTGGGTGCCAGTAAGATCAGGTGGGCGGCAACAGAAGGGAGGGCAGGCTTGCACTGAGAAGTGGGCAGCAATATGCGATTTAGCAGGCGGGCAGATGGGCGGGAGAACGGGCAAGCGACTAACCATACCCACTCTAGAATCTGTTATCATCTCCGGGCATTCCGGCACGGGAGAACCTGCTCACCGCCGCTGGCCTTAAGGGCAAGTATCCCGTGTAATTATCGGGGAAGCGTTCGGGCCATCAGGGGATGACAAGATAGCCAGATTAACACCATGATTTATTTCTCTCTCGAGTGCAATGTGTTGGGAAGGCTGGAGCACACACGTCTGGCGCTGAGGCCAGGCGTGTGCGTGCAGGGGTGTTGGTGTCGCGCATTCAGGAAGCCAAGAATGTAGGGAGTGGGACACGAGGGTGGTCATATGCCCGTTGGGGGATGGTAGCGTGGTGGTGTTATTCTGTATGCGGCGCCCATTCCTCCCACCCTCATCTCTACGGGAGGGGGACCTCCTCCCAGGTTGCCAAACATCTTTTTATGAGACTCAGACTAAAGCCTGACAAACAACACGATAGCTTTTTAGCGCTACGCCGCGTGCAGAACCACGCGATAAAAGCTTAACACACAAGATAATTCGATTGGAAAGGAGCGCACCAGTGCACGCGTTTATCGAAATTTCCCAAAGAGTGGATGCTGTTAGGGTGAGCCAATGAGCGGGCGCCTGGGAGAGCACGTGACCGCCACGGTGCTGCCATCTGTGCTCAGGTGTGGCGGCGGGGAGGCTAGTGCTCACCTGGCGCAGTGCTGAGGTAAACAGTGAGCAAGATGGAGAGACGCCGAGTCGTCCATCCTCGCGATGATTCAGGAAATTCCTAGTGTCCGGCCCGTACTGTAGACCGACGTAGTGTCTCACGCTCATTACGTGCAGAGATGTAGTGGTGTCGGAAGGAAATCATGGTTGAGGAAAGATTTTGCCTGATAATGCTCATTTCGTGTCATATATAACTGGTGGTGTGTACCCAAAGGTGGAGTTGTGCGTTCGTGTCAACAGTGTTCAAAGTTGAGTGGAGTGTGTCACTTGGTGCCGGGTGGACCAGACTTGCGAGGAGTGGCGGGCAGCGTTGCGTGCGCTGAGTGTGTCTTGGCAAGATGAGTGGGCCAGCGGCCAGTCGGTAGTGGTGGGCATAACCAGCTCACTGACAAATAGCTACTGGAGCCCGGTCTGGCCAGCTCGGCGGCCTGGGCGCACCACGGACCCAAGCCTCACTCTCAACCCATGTGCGAGGAACCCTATCCCGAGCTGCCCTATGATCCAAGGTGGCTGCCACCCGCTCCGCCGGAGCAGCCCACCCGACACCGCCCGTTAGGATGGCAACTCTAGGGCTCTCAAAAGTCTTCATCCTCGATAAATACTTTACAGAGCTTCAAAAATTCTGGGAAACGGAGAAGAAACTTCAAGGTGAGATGTGTGCCCAGCATATACGAATGTTTTGCATGTGTGATAACTTGACAAATGCATTTCTGGTGGGGATAATTAGAGGGGTTGTTGGTTGTATTGAGGCGGAGCGCCTCGCCCGCCACATGATGGACAACCACTTATTACAAACTCCTCAAACTACCGTAACCCCAGTAGCCGAGCTTCTGGCTTTCTTGCCCCTTACCTCTTGATTTTGTAAATACTTTAACAACATCTATATATTAACTTGGTTACCATTTCCTTTAAAACATATAAATGTAACATTTTGTACTCGGTATCGGTGAGTGACTATGACGTATCTGTGACGTTTGTCTCACTCCACGTGGAGCAATTGACCACAACCTTGACTCTTTATGGGACTCGTATTACGACTTTCCTCTTGCATCACACCGTGAGAATATCTGGCCAGAAATTTCCACGTTTACTCCCGCCGCGCTGTTGGTTACCATTTGTATCAGCTGTCCAAGTCCTGTGGTAGGCTACCGTGACTCTTGGTCCCACAGTGCTGGAAAAACTTATGTTGTACACCATGGTCGACCCTGGGCCAGGAGATCCTCGCCCTGCACTTGACACTCCACCACACGTGCAGTACCACCGACCTCTTCAACTCTGCATGGTCCTGGAGGCAATGTTTCCTCCGGCAGCGGAAGTGTTCCATTAGAGCACACGGAGAGGGAGCGAGACGTTTTCTGTCAGGGAAGAGTGCTCTTGTGATGACGCTCTGACTGTGTAAAACATTCCTACACTGTCCAGGAAGATTTAGCCATTAAACACATTGCGGGTCACACCTTGAGTGAGAAATTGTTGTTTTAAATATTGTGAATGGGTCATTTCTTGTACGTAGTAAGTCGGTATGTAACTTGCTCCTAAAGATAACTTTCTACTGTACTGTTAAAGTCTCCTGGAGGCTTTAGCTTACTAGTGATTATTGAATATGATAGACTTGAAAATTTACCAGAATTATGCAAATTAAGTGTTTTATACATATTTTTAAAGGAAGGAGAGCAAGTCTTAATGATAAGACTTGCGTTAATTCCTAATGGAGCACTGGGTCAGGCTAATAACGAGGCAACACACCACACACACACAAACACACACATCACACACCATATACAACACACCACACACACACAAACACCACACACACCACACACCACACACACACACACACACCATATACAACACCCCACACACAACTCACCACACACGCCACACACCATACACACCACACCACACTCAACACACACACATGAGGCTACCTACACATACAAGATGACCTAGACAAACAGAACGAATGGTCCAACAAATGGCTAATAAAATTCAACCTGAGTAAATGTAAGGTAATGAAACTAGGCAGTGGAAACAGGAGGCCAGACACAGGATACCGAATGGGAGATGAAGTCCTTCATGAAACGTGCAGAGAGAAATATCTAGAAGTTGATATCATACCTAACTTATCTCCTGAAGCTCACATAAAAAGAATAACATCTGCGGCATATGCAAGGCTGGCTAACATCAGAACTGCCTTCAGGAACCTGTGCAAGGAATCATTCAGAACCTTGTATATCACATATGTAAGACCAATCCTGGAGTATGCGGCCCCAGCATGGAGCCCGTACCTTGTCAAGGACAAGACGAAGCTTGAAAAAGTTCAGAGGTATTCCATTCGGCTAGTTCCAGAACTAAGAGGCATGAATTACGAGGACAGGCTGCATGAAATGCACCTCACGACACTGGAAGACAGAAGAGTAAGGGGAGACATGATCACTACCTACAAAATTCTCAGGGGAATTGACAGGGTGGACAAAGACAAACTCTTTAGCACGGGCGGAACACGAACAAGGGAACACAGATGGAAACTGAGTACCCACATGAGCCACAGAGACATTAAATTTTTTTTTTCAGTGTCGGAGTAGTTAGTAAATGGAATGTATTAGGCAGTGATGTGGTGGAGGATGACTTCATACACAGTTTAAAATGTAGATATGATAGAGCCCAGTATACTCAGGAATCTGTACACCAGTTGATTGACAGTTGAGAGGCGGGACCAAAGAGCCAAAGCTCATCCCCCGCAAGCCCAACTAGGTGAGTACATCTAGGTGAATACACACACACACACACACACACACAACATAGCGCACACACACACACAACATAGCACACACACACACACAACATAGCACACACACACACACAACATAGCACACACACACACACACACACACACACACACACACACACACACACACACACACACAACATAGCACACACTTGCCTCTGAATAACCTAACCGGTTCTAGTAACTAGTCCTCAGTCCTCACCTCCAACATAACACAGCTTCTATACTGAGGCGAAACTCGGCTGAAAATTGAAAGTTTACTAAGTAGTATAATATTATAAAATACCAATTTTCCAATTCACAATTATTGCACAACCAGAGTATTTGATTGATTGATTGATTGATAGAGATTAAGCCACCCAAGAGGTGGCATGGGCATGAATATATATGCATGTAGAATATACATCTTACCAGCCCGTAAGTGGTAGATTTTATTGGGGGAGGAATGTGATCTTTGGTCGTGAGAGGATGTACTGTGTGCTGAGCTCGCATTTATATCGTCAGTCCATACTATGTGGCTGCTATCGCGGGAAAGGATACTGCTTGACAGTATTTGACGGTGTCCAGCTGCTGGACACCTTTTTTTGACCAGAAGAGTGGCAGTGTTGATGGCTGCAGGGTAGTTACTGCAAGATTCAGGGACTCTTAAAGCTCTTCTAAGGTCGTTGGTTGTTTGACATTCCAGGAGATATTGAAGTAGTGGCTTTTCTGTGATTGTTTAGCAGAAGATGCATTCCCTATGTCTGGGTTCACCAATTTCACAGTTGCATCTGTAACCTAGACGCGATCTCTATAACCGAACTGCTATTTCCCTGTAGATTCCTTTGGGAATATTAAACCTTGGTGGACCTGAAGATACCATATTGCAGAGAGCGAACATTCTGCTACTCTCTGTTGCTGAGGTGGCTTTGTTGAGGTGTGCAAGTTTTTTGGTGATGGTATTTTGTATGTACTCTAAGGCTGAGTTGGATTGTTTTGTGGATCACTGAATGATGAATTCCAGTTTAGCAGTTTCATCGGCTTTCTCATTTAACGGGACTCCAACATGGGATGGGATCCAGTTTAGGGTTATGTTGAGTTTTTTGCCTTTAGCTACTGCTCCAAGATACAAAATTGTGATAATTATTTACACGTTGTCTTTCCACTGTTTTTTTTTTCGTAATATTTGAAGTGCAGTTTTTGAGTCTGTGTGTATGATTGCATTTTGAGTGTTTTGTGCAATCACATATGCGAATACCTGTTGTGTGGCAGACAGCTCAGTTTGGGTTGATGATACTGGTCCTCCCAGTCTCCAATATAACTGTTCGCTGTCCATACAATGAGCAGCACCAGAGCTCATTTTGTGTGTCCAGGATTATTCCTAGATACTGATAAGATTATTCCTAGATACTAACTTTCAATTGGTTGACCCTGTACTTTGAATTGGTTGTTGGGTTTCATTATTTTTATGGGCATGGCTATTGTCTTGGTGGAGTTGAATTGTATTCCAATCTGCTTTGCTTCTTTACTGATGCAATCTAAGCATTTAGGTGTAAGGCGCGCCGCATCCTTTTATTTTATGATGAGAACAAAGTCGTCCGCATAGTTTAGCAGCCTGCAGTGTTGTGGGAGTTTCAGCCTCATTATTCTTTCCATTAAACAGTTGAAGGGTAGGGGGCTGAGAATGCCTCCTTGCGGTGTACCGTTTCATGTCTTTTGTATTCAGAGACTGTGCCATGAAGTTTAATTCTTGCTTCTCTGTTTGAGACAGTTTTTGGTCCAGGAGAGCAGGTTGCCTGTGACCTTTTTGCCGACGAGGCAGCAGAGAATAGCTGGAGCGTTAGCTAGTTCAAAGGCTATCATGAGGTCCAGGAATATCAGTATTCCTGGTCTGTTATTCAGGTGGGTTAACAGAGTCGTAATACATTCCACCGTGCCAACCCTTATTCTATAGACTTACATGTCTTGGTGCAGTTTACATAGTTTCCACACAAGTGCCATTCTGTTAGCTGTCTTGGCTGCACAGCTTTGGAGAGATGGGCCTGGGATTAGCTGCATCTTTGGGTTTTGGGATCGGCGACATTTTGGGATGTCTGCCCTATTCTAGACCTAACTAGACTAGACTAGTTAGGTCAAACTAGACCTAACTATAGGTCTAGTTTGAGAAGTTCAGTCTAAATTAATTAACCTCAGATATGCAGCGTCTCCCTCTGGGTCGAGGATTCTAATAATTGTATAGGTTATTTTGGGGCGACGACAAAATCTTTGGAGTTTTTCTTAGCTCGATTGAGTTCATCCAGAGTGAGAGGGATATTAGTGCCAGAGGCTTCTGCACATGCTGTCAGGATTTTGTGCCATCTTTCTTCCTCTAATCCTTTCTGCACTGCTAGTACATCTAGAACTTTTTCCATCAGTCAGAAGACATTCCTGAGCGAGTCAGACGAAGTCAGCTGTAAACCTGTTAGGCAGAGGCTCAGTTGATAAAATCCCCAGATGTTGTGGAAGACATTTTTTCTGTTACAATGCACTTGGAATGTACCAGGTCCATATATAACGTGTTTTTTTTTTACAAGCTAAAACCTGTTAGACTCGACAAGATGTTGGCTGGTTTTGATAAGGTTGAACTCGGAAATTTGCGAAGGTAGACAGCTGTGTCAGGAGAAGTGTCTCGCCGCTCTCAGCTCTGAACACTTGCAGGTAATATTTCACTTCTGAAGAGGGAAGAAATTGTCTTGCCAAGACACCAAGAGTTGTAGAAAATAACAACAAATAATACATGCAATATATATTTATAATATATATTTATATAAAATCACGAGTCATCGTTGACACCATCACATGGTAACGTCTGGGTACGTGAACTGAGCTCCTCTTCACAGTGGTA